AACAAATGCTTAATTATTCCAGCACAATGGGACATGATCTATACAGTCAAACAGTAATTGTAGGAGAGAAGTGATGTATCTCTGCACTGACAAGGTGCATGTTAAAGCCACTATTTCCAGTTAAAGTGCCAGCTTTCGTATCTCTCCCACCAATGACTGGCGCTTGAGATAATTTGTAGTTAACATGCTCAGTCTGATCGTCAGATAACGGGGAAGAGAAACTTTAAACCTGCTGAATGTTATCAGTAAGACGAATGTCACGAATAGGGGCTAGATATTCAGCATGAAGGGATTTCTGTTAATGCAGATCATCAAATAATAAGATTAATAATCAGATAATCAGAATAGCAATATGTTTTTTTTTATTGATACTGCTAATTATTTACTGTTTATATAGACACTGTTTGTCCAGAAGTTTGTGTTCATCCAATGTTTTGTCTTTGCTGCAGTAAAAGCAGTAAGAGCATTGGTGAGGGCTTGTACTGATGTTGGATGATTAGTTCTGAATCACAAACACCACAAATTACAAAGCCGGATGATGGCACCACGACTCCAAAGAAAACATTCCTTTAGATTCATATCCCTCTTGGCATTGCTTGGCACTGGACATGGTGACCTTAGCTTAATGCAGGGCAGCGTCCCATTCTACTGCCGATGCCTTTCTATAGGGACTGTCCAAACTAGGCGCTAAACATGGGTTTACCTACATGTACCTTAGAGAATTCACTAATTAGAAAGGGTGTCTGGATCGTTTAGACAAAGACTGTATAGATGTTCTATATTGCAGTGAAAGAATATCGTCGGGAAACACCTGATAACATTTTCAACAGATTCTAATAAGTGGTGTGCAGAATCAACATACAGAAGCTTTGAGACTGACACTGCCCCCTGCTGGCTAAAAAGAGAACCGCACAATGTGAAAGGGGAAACAGACAGGGTTCCCTGTCAACATGCTCAAGCCATCACCTTGCTAAGTCTCATCAAGGGATAAAAATGGAAAAATGTATCCTTCCTGTCTAGCGCACCTTCCCCAATATCAGTTCCCCCCCCCACCCCCACCCCTCCATCTTTTCCTGTCATGCCTCCTCTCTCCTGTGCCTGCCAACATCACTAATGTCATTTCAAAGGACGACGCATACAAATTTGACTCTCATAGGAGAGAATGACTTATCAAAACTGACAGCTCATGCTTTATGAACAGATGGGAATTGGTAACGGTGTGTGTGGAGGGAACGGGTGCACAAACACACACACACAAACAGATTGAGACACACTTCTGGACATCACTGAGCTAGGAGTCTGTGGCAGTGGGATTAGGGATTTCAGAGATGGACTCACCACCCAGTGATTACAAGTGTGTGTATGCGTGTGTGTGTGTGTGATTGAGTGTAGCGGCAGTTTTGACAGGGCCCGCAGATCAACACAGGTTAATCCCGACAAAGAGAAGATTTTCCCAGGATGCAGCAGTAGTGATTTTTTCTTTCATTTGCCCTCCTGAGCAGCTAAATGTCAATTTCTTCACCTCCTCAGATCCCTCATCCACAGGGACATTATGACACCCGCCGTAAGACTTTAAACCTCTTAACATTATTGTTTCAGGTTTACATAGCAGCTGCTGAATTCATCCCTTGCAATGTAAATGAAATGCACCAGAACTAAACCAAATACAATGTATGAACTGCATCAGAATCAGTCTTCAGCACCCAGCATTTACTGGAATACATCAGCAATTACATACGGACACATGCAATGTTAAAAACTTCTTATAGGCTTGCCTTAAGACTTCATACATTTTCAGGGAAACAGTAAAATAGGCTTCAAGAAGCGTCTGAAAAAGTCACATTGCGAGGTTTCGAATTTTTGCAATTAATATTGCGATATCCGAGATACAAAAACTTTTACAAAAGTTACAAAATTACCCACATAAACTATTGTCAAAAGGAGTTAATCACCACTCTAATTACGCCTGTCACAATCATGACATTTTAGCTGATGATTAATTGCCATATAAATAATTGTAATTTACAATTTGTCTGCAACTTTTAAAGTACAACTCTAAACTACCCAAACTGGTTGATTAGCTATGTTGCTTCCTAGCTGCCAATACCTTGTAGCTCTAAAGTAATGACAGAAACAGCTCAAGCTCAAATAAACAAACATTACCCAGTGCTGCCCTCTAAATGTGCTTCAGCCATTATGCTCAAACCAAGCAGTTCATTTGTTTCATTCATTGTTTTCGGAAAACCCAGGAAGGTAAACGAGCAATATGGCCAAATTTATTTCAAGGTGTAATTAAGATTTCTGATGGTTCAGTATTCACCGATCAGGCATAACATTATGACCACCTCCTTGTTTCTACGCTCACTGTTCATTTTATCAGCTCCACTTACTATATAGGTGCACTTGGTAGTTATACAATTACAGACTGTAGTCCATCTGTTTCTCTGCATACTTTGTTAGCCCCCTTTTACCCTGTTCTTGAGTGGTCAGGACCCCCATGGACCCTCACAGAGCAGGTACTTTTTGGGTGGTGGATCATTCTCAGCACTGCAGTAACACTGACGTGGTGGTGGTGTGTTAGTGTGTGTTGTGCTGGTACGAGTGGATCAAACACAGCAGTGCTGCTGAAGTTTTTGCTCTGTGAGGGTCCATGGGGGTCCTGACCACTGAAGAACAGGGTAAAAGGGGGCTAACAAAGTATGCAGAGAAACAGATGGACTACAGTCTGTAATTGTAGAACTAAAGTGCACCTATATATAAATATAGATTTATATATATATATATATATATATTTATATATACACACACACATTTTATATATATATATATATATATCACACATTTAAGCATTGATTTTGTATATATATATATATATATATATATATATATATATATATATATATATATATATATACATACACACACACACATATATATTGGTTAAAGACTCATTTGCATATTGTATATGCTTGTATATGCAAACATCAGTACTGCAAAGGCTGATGTCACAATAACAACTGATAAATGGTATATCTTGCTGCTCTATGTCTGAGCTAGCAGTGGGTTAAAGAGGGCGTACCAGGCTTCCAGGAATGTAATCCAGGGTGAGGGATAACATCATTACTGTAGTCTGCCGAACAAGACACGATTTCCCTGTGCTACAAATTACACCGAGGAACAGCAGCAAAAACACGTGCACACACACACACACGGATATAGTCACACACACGAGAATATACACATGCTTGGACCCACGCACACACCGCCTTGTGCTAAAACTGTCTTAAACTATTTCTCACTCTCTCTCTTTCTCCATTGCTACAGGCATCTTCCTTTATCTCAGACTTTTAAATAAAATCCCATATTGTAAAGAAATATAGTGAAGTCAGATAAAGGAAAACCACACACAAGACTGCAGGCAAGGCATTTTCAGATTTTACAGCATAAAAAAGGCACAGACCTATCCATAGCCCACCCACAAATGTCTTCTTTCAGTGTTTCATTGTCTTTCATAGCTTTCAGGTTGGCCAAGATCTAAAGAACACCATTGAATCTAAAGAGAAATTATAGCTCGTAACATTTAAAGAGTATTCTTAAGAGTATTCTTCATTTGTAACAATTTTGGATATAGTGAGTTTTTGAAAAGAATAACAGCTAACATAATAGAAAACATTTCTAATTCTCTTTTAAAAGTGGTACTAATCATAATACAGCACTGATATGTATTTGTTAAGTCCTCTCCCACCAAAATGCATCATTCTTGAAAGTGGTCTATAATGTGTTTTGCACCAAAATCAGTTATAGTATAATATCAAATTATAATTATGTTTGTATTAGTCTGAAGATCAGGATAGATCAGGCTTGCTTATTTATTTATTTATTTATTTCTAAATGTGCTAACTCTAATACGGTAGCAAATTCTGACATCCTTGTTTCAGCTTAGTTTCCATTAGCTACTTCAACATAGCCCAGCTTGGTAGCACAGAATTTTACACTGGAAACTCAGAACAAACATCACTATAGTTTTATTAGGCTGTAAAACTTGTCCAACTTCAGTTGCTAGAGATTGCATGAGATCAGTTTTTCTTTTCTGACACCAACAACACTGAAACCTTGCACATCGTCCAATACAGATATGGACACAATATTCCTTGTCGAAAACTCTACCATCTTTAAAATAAGCTATTTTTAACTGAAGCACTTCACTTAAGACGAGCAACTAAAAGTAGACTATCACGCTGAAACTAAACACTCCTCTACCCCACAGCTAACATCACCACATCACACGGTGTGAGTGTGCTATTTCATGCTAGATCTGTTACTGAATTAAATCAGATTCATTCTCCTTTTCCACTGATTTCTGATCCAGCGTTTTCCGCTATTGGCCCAGCACTGATAGCTGGTATCGGATCAGTGCCTCTCCTATTGTAATGAAAGAACACATTTAAAAGCAGAGCACAGACAGGTCAAAGTGTGGACTACAGTGAGATGTAAAGGGTTACAGTGTAGGTAGTGATGGAAAAACAAGACAGAGAAAGAGGCAAAGAACAAGAGAAAAAGACAGAAAGAGAGAAAGAAAGAAAAGAAAGAAAGACGGTACGAGTACAGGTGGAGAGAGACTGACAACAGGACAGAGAGGGAGAGAATGAAGGGATAGAGAGAGATGATAATGATGATGAAGATGGTGATGATAACAATAAAGAGGATGAAGCACAAAGTGAAAGTCCTCTTCATAACAGAGTTTAGGGAAACACCCTCACTCATATCTCACTGATTCTTCCCATCTGCCTTTAGCCTGTGCGTGGTGCTGCAGGGATTGCTAAATAAAAGCCCAGGATTTACTCGCTCTGTCTCTCCAAAGACAACACATCCCTCAGAGGGGTTAGCAGACAGCGCTAGCATGAGTTCATCATCAAATCCACTCATATCGTACACAAGCTACTGGGATCTGGGCTTGGACAGAGGCTAGAAAAAAATGTGGTGTGTGTGTTTGTGTGTACCTGCTTGGCCAGGTTGACTGAGTCGGAAGTGAGTTTGTCTCTGAGCTGAGGGTCCAGCTGAGCAGCGGGGGCAATTTCCACTACCTTCTGATGGCGTCTCTGAATGGAACAGTCTCGCTCATACAAATGAATCACATTTCCATATTTATCACCTGAGAAAGAGAGAGCGCGGCAGACACAGGTAGTGGGCAGAGACAGACGGAAAGATAGAGAGGGTGGAGGGAAGAAAAGGAGAGCGAGGTGGAGGAGGAGAGAGAGAATACAAAAAAACAAATTTCATGCTGCACTGTCAACAGTCTCCTTTCCTAAGCCTGCTGTGATTTTGCTGACCCCCTACTGAACTAATCACTATGCAGATATCTCACCTTGTCAACAAGGTATGTGAGTGCAGGAAAAGCAGATAAAACTCAGGCACTCTTATTAATTTTTTTAATTTTCTTGCATGGTGCATTGCTTCCATTGACACGCTGCTGTTCTCCCTTAACAAGCCAGTGTTCACTTCCAGCTGTATAATATCGACTAAGCGCCTGGCACCAGAGGAACAAATCGCGCCTAATGAGTGAAAATTCTCCAGCATAATGGCTAGAATACACCAGAGATAAGCTAATAAATCATAGTAAGAGGAATCCACACACACACACACACACACACACACATTTGGACACACTCACCTAGAATCTGCACCTCGATGTGGCGTGGTTTCTCTATGAACTTCTCCACAAACAGAGCGCCGTTTCCAAAAGCAGCAAGAGCCTCGGAGTACGCTCGCTGATAGTTCTCTTCCAACTCCTGGAAAATGAAACAAAAAAATTCACTTTAAACAAGAGGAGCCTAAGCCATCTCCAACGGATGTATGAAGACCACACTAAATTCCAAGCTCCAAACAGCCTCTAAAGCACACTCAGTTCAATACATACATAGAGAATCACACAAACACACAAACCTCACTGTTAATAATAGCAACACTTTGTCTGGGAATGATCTCATCTAAAACTATTTTCATCCTCCACTTCATAAAAAAATAAATATATATTCCAGACTTCATTGTATTTATGTCACGCCAGTGTCTACAGTACAGAAAAAACATTTTGTGTAACATGATCTGTAGGGTAAATGGACATTTTAGTCCACCTGTAGTATCTGTTGGATGCCCACATAGATTTCCTTCCAGCAACATTTTTTTTCAATAAATACACAGTTTTTCTGCCATACAACTACTACTGCTATCACTGCTAATAACAAATCTGATTAAATAATAAAATTAATTATAATTCTGACTTGCTGCATTTACTGTAGTCATCAACAAATCTATGAAGACTGATTAGTTTGCTCTCTAGCCAAGTCTAAATTAGCCAATTCTAGTACTACTACTAGCATAATAACACACCTTACCAACACACAAATATATACAGTTTGCTACAGTGACAAAGAATCATGGGTGAAGTCAAGCCCATTTTCTTTTGAGAACATAAAAACAACTAGTTCTCCAGCTACTACGGTATAGTCTAGTATACCACCACCTGCTGTTTGTCTCGAGACGCTTGTCTATGCATGTTTTAACAATGGGTATCAGTCAGTCACTTAGTCAGTGATCGAGTAAGACAGCAACTCTCATAGGCTACGCGCGCACACCCACACCCACACATATATATATATAATATATATATATATAATATATATATAATATACACATATATATATATATAACACATATGCCTCCACGAATTTCAAAATGCACTCATATCAACGCACACACAAGTCTGCAGAGCTGAGGGCAAATTATTCTCTTGTCCTGTATGCATATCTTTGATAGTAGTATCACTTCAATTATTAATGTAATGCGACTGATTCTGTTATATAATCTGTGCGCACGCTTGTTATGAGTTATAAATAAATTATAAGTCTGCGAGAACTTAGAGAAAATAATGCAGAATAATTATGACAAGCAGTTTAATATTCTCCTCGTTTTCTGACTGTGAGCACACACACACGCACAAACAATAAGATACTAAATACATATTTTTCGTTTTCATATGGGGGCGCACACGCACATACACACACACCTCGTACTCTCTGACCACCCGCATGCCTCGGCCGCCTCCTCCATAGGCAGCTTTAAAAATGATGGGGAAGCCGTAGGTCTTGGCAAATTCCTGAGCCTCCTGCAGAGAAGATATGGGGGCATCCGTCCCAGGAACCACCGGAACACCTACGCATACACATGCCCACAAACACATTGATAAACAAATTGAATAAAACACACAAACACACAAATACACAGATGAGTGGATTAGTCTGCTGATATGACTACAACAAAAATGACAAAAAATGTAACTAAAATGAAGCGCAACTCTTAGCACCCCTGGTACTTTATCTCCAGAGCCTAGCTGAAGCACTGTTACACTGATATACTAAACTTTCACCATATGGGTAATCTGCAGCTGTCACAGTAGCAAACATACCTCAAGTTTACGTATATACGTAGGGTATTTGCAAAGGTTTCTGGCCTATTTTTTCATATTCATGCAATTTGTATACATAAACATGCCTTCATGTGGTGTGGATCGCCTAGCTGGCAGTTTCCTCACTTTCAATGATTTTCCTTCAATGCCAATAGCCCCCCCCCCTTGTGGAGTACGGTAAATATGAGTGAGTGTACACTAGCAGCAGTATATTCTATTCAGCAGTATACTCTAGCAGTATATTCTACTCCACTGCTATTTTGCAATTTTGTAAAGCACAATGTTCAAGCTTACCAGTTCATTTTTTTTAAATGTTACATTTAATATTTTCAAATGCTGTAAACAAACTTTGTCAAGACTAATGAAGTATTATACGTCATGCCAAAAAAACACGCTAAATTGAACTGAAGTTAATTCATTTGAACAAGTGAGTGAGCAAAAGAGTGACAAGCCAGTCCTTTGAGAAGTTTCGCATCTTAGAAAATGGACACAGTGGAAGAAAGAAGAACATAATTGGATTTTGCCTAGTATGGGCATATGAGGAGGAACACCATACCAGCTTGGATGGCCAGGGCACGAGCCTCCACTTTATCACCCATCTTGCGCACTACCTCTGGACTTGGGCCGATGAATCTGACCCCAGCGTCCTCACAGGCCTGAGCAAAGTCAGAGCGCTCCGACAAAAAGCCATAACCAGGGTGGATGGCATCCACATTATTCTCCTGCAGAAAGGAACCAACAAGAAATTACAAAAGGAAACAGAAAGAATAGAGGAACAGAGAGTGGGAAATAGGAAAAGAGAGGAAAAAAGCAGAACAGCATGGAAAGGAATGAAGAGGAAAAAAAGGGAGTAAAAGCATGAAAGAAAAGAGAGGCGTTCATTTCTAATTAGCCTGAGAGTATGCGAGTAAATACTAATTTTATTAAAATCCCAATCAGAGGGTAATTGCAAGCCATCTCTCTTTGTTGGCTGAGTGTGTGTTCCCCATAATAATGGCTCTGGAGGAAGGAGCCTACTGCAGTGCTTTCACACAATGAGACTGGTCAGATTATGTATAGTGGAATCTGTTCGTGAGGGAAAGGGGCTGTGTATATGTGTGTCTGTGGGTCCATTATTGTTATGGCCATGGCTAAGCTCCCAGTCTGACAGATGAGCTGTCTACACTATAAATGAACGAGAGACCACTGAAGACCCTATTTGGCTGCCATATCTAGAGGAAAATGCAGTCTGAAGGACTTGGCAGGCCCTTTTCTCATTGACTTCAGCTCAGAGGAATGATTATATTTCTGATCTGTTCTGTCCTTATTTTTTAAAACACGTCCATGGGTTAAGTTGAGGGGGTCCGACATAAAGCAGTGTAGCTCTGATGGCTAAACTAGAGGGGGTGGACATGCGTGACCAGAAACCCAACAGGCTGACAGAAAAAGACGGAGACACACAGACTGAGGAAAAGAAAAAGACAGACAGAAAGACAAGCAGGTAGACAGACCGTCAGGGGCAGTCCGAAAGGCATACACAGACACAGACAAACGTGTAGACATGCAGCACTGTCAGAACCAGCTGTCTGACCTTGGCCACTTTGATGATGTCAGGTATGTGTAGGTAGGCAGAAACCGGGGGAAGGCCTTTGCCAATCAGGTAGGCTTCATCTGCTTTCTGTCTGTGCATCTGTCCCGTATCCTGCTCCGAATACACTGCCACTGTCCGGATCCCCAGCTCTGTACATGCTCGGAACACCCGGATCGCTATCTCACCTGCACACAGTGGAAAAACAACAGCAATCAGGATCATCCCTTTGACAAGTAATGTGACGAAAATTGAAGCCCACACAACATTCAATGACAAAGTGAATTTGTATCAGAATTTTGTCCATTTTTATAGATATCAGTATGTCATACAGTGTCACAAACCACATAAGCAAGCTTATTTGGGATTACAAGGGGAAGGGGAAAGGGGAACTCCACCAGTGTTTCAGAATTTCTGCATGATTAAATAGTTAAGGTGTGAAATAAGCCATTCTAGAGAAATTTACAGTCAATTGTTCACACTGCTGGTGATAGGAACCAGACTCCCAAAGGGTTTAATGCCTCTAAAAGCTCCCTGATTGCATTAAATGGTTATGAATATTCTGCCTGATGCCCAAGACATTGTTTTATGACAGTTTTGAGACAAGCTTTTGATTTAAAATTAATCCCTGGACAAATAAAACAAATAATCCCTAAAGAAAAATTATTTTTTTGTATCACTATTTTATCATTCTCAACATTGCATATAAGAACTCACAAGACATAGATAGGGTCACTGATGGTTTTGGAAAGCAAGTAAAATACCTGTATTTGCATTGTAGATTTCTCAACCCCCAGTTCCTTTCACCACCACAGAAAAAAAAAACATCTCTATATCAAACCACTCTAAATGACTCTTTATATCTCAACCACTGAATTATACATAAGTTTTTAAAAATCTGAATATCTTCCCTTTAGCAACTCAACATGGTTCGATGTTGAATACTTGTTAACTACATTAGGCTTGTCGCTCCAGTAAATAACTAAGGAAACAAACACGTCTTGGCACATGGCTAAGGGGAAAACTGTGTAAATGTATTTTTATTTTTGCTGAACTTTTCCTATAATAGGATTAAAAACACAAGGCCTGTGATCAACATGTGCCAATGGCCTTACCTCTGTTGGCTACCATGACCTTTTTGATTGGCCGATACTCGAGGGTCTGTGGCGAGGTGTGGGCAGAGCGAGAGAGCAGGTACGCCCTCCGCAGAGCCAGCAGTCCAAGACCATTCTTCACCCCTCCAAAATACACCAGCATCCTGAGAGAGAAAGAGAGAGCGAGAGAGTGAGAGAGAGAGTGAGAAAGAGAGAGAGAGATGAGGAGCTGGGTTAGAACAAACTGTCCACTTCAAAGGCATCCTTCAGCAAGATGGAATGAGAAAGACAGGAAATGAAAGATAAAACTAAACGACGTGAGAGAATGGCTCTCCTCAAAATATATGAGCCAAGGCCTAGACAACATTACTTATATAAATCCTCAGGACTGAACCAATGATCCTCTGAAGTTTTATGACAACAGTTAAGTGTTCCACATTTCCCTCCACATGGTTTAGACCACTCACAACAAAATACTTCACTGCCCCAAAAAACAGTTATGGTCCAGTTTGTTTGAGACTGCTGCCATCTTGTGGTTTTAGGCAATACTGCAATTTAGGGGGAAATGGGTACATAAATAATCTTGCCCATTGCATTTAAGCTGCCCTTTACATTACTAAAATAACAAACTATGAACACACCGATTTCTGCCAAGACTTACAAATGCACACGTGCATAATTATGAGTTACTTTATGTGCAGTATATATTATAATGTATACGATGGCAATAAACCGTTAAAGTGAAAAATAAAATGAATAATAAATGATATAATTAAGATTTTATTTTCATATTCATAGAGCAAACTATATAAACATATCTAACTGCTCATGAACATGTGAGCTTGCATGTATAAACAATCCAACCACATACTTTACCACACCCTAACTAGCAAAACGAGTATGCAGGAATGTGACAAGAGGCAAAACGAGGATTGTTGGAAAGAAACTGTATCTCTGTATGAAAAGCCATCTCAATCAAATATGAAAATTTGAGATATTAACCCATGTCCACATCTCAAATTTCATACTTCTATTCTTCAGTCTGTATTCTTTGAGCTTGCCTGAACGCAAATCAGATGGTTAAACAGTGAGTTCATTTATTGTATTAAATTTAGCCTTTTGGTCACATGGGACTGATTTTTAAGCACAAATTTGAATGAAAACACAAATTTGACTGAGTATGGAATTTTAAAATTTGATTTAAGAATTACGACCAGGGCTGCCAAAAGTGTGGCCCAAGGTCCAAAGATGACGCACAATGATGTTTGATTTTTCCCTGCCAGAGAGTTAACTCCACCTAACCCCATCCCTTATTACTTATTAAATTCTAATTTTCCTGTTAAAATTACTTTAAAAGGATCTAAAAGGATTTGAAAGGATTACTCTAGAATTCTTTTCAACTCTGTTGTGCGGTGTTGATCAACCTTCCTGGGAATTTTAACACACAATATGCAATATGCCAAACACACATAAACCCTCTGCACCTCCATTAACAGGGCACATAAAGGGGGTCCAGGGGGCAGGGCTCTTTGGGTTTATTTGTTTACTGATAACATGACCAGGGAGTGCACGGACTATTGAGTAGTTATGACAGAGACCACAGACGAACCTTGCGTTTTTAGTGCAACATTTACAAGGTCAGGCACGCACACACACGTACATGGTGAGAACTTATAAACCTGTCTGAGCCTGCTGGCTTTCTCTCCTCTCAGAACAAAGTGTGACTAAATGGAGCTCCAGTCTTGTGTAGGCACAAACATGCTGGAAACCTTATCAGGTTTCCTGTCAGAAAGACCCAGCCTTGTGCTTCCAGCACTGATTAAAATGCTGCACAAGATTTTTCAAAACATATATTTTAACATTATGTCCCCTACGTACTTTACAGAAGAACAGTCTGATATTCTCAGAAAGAATTATAGTACATGCCTCAATTGGCTAACAAGTTTGTGGTGAGCTTATTGACTCTTCATTATGCTTTTTCACCTTATTCAAAAGTTGGCACTAGAAAACACAACTTTTCTTGGAATTTTGAAGTTTATGTTTTTATGAATGTTTTAAAAGCATTAATTAGGTCAGTGCACCACAGAAAGGGCATCGAGTGGATCACATTCCCCCTACGGTTCGCAGGTCTTACATATTGTATAATCAGTGGTCTCCAATTCTGGTCCTGGAGAGCTACATTCCTGTAGAGCTTAGTGCCACACCTGCTCCAGCTAATCAACCTCTTCCCAAGTCCCTGATTGGCTGGATCAGATATATTAGAGTAAAGTAAGGGACAGGGCAACTTATTGGATATAGGTTGGAACTAAACTCTGCAGAAAGGCAGCTCTCCAGGACCAGAGTTGGGACCACTGTTCTAAATTTTAAACTGCCACCTTGTGGGAGGGTTTAAACTTGCATGACAATTTGAATTCAGCAATTTAAGACCACCCATTACACTTCAAAAAGGGTCTAACTACTGGGAGTGCAAAAAAGGCAACAGACGATAGCATGAGTCCCCTAACATCTTTATTGGACCCCATACACTGCTGCTTATGCAATTCTACACCCATGAAATGAAAATACATATACTTCATCCATTAGCCTACATTAGCACTAGCAAGTATAAGCAAATGTCATTTTAAGATCATTTTTATGGGGCTACTTGCACATTTAATGAATATATCAGTCAAAACCAAACCCACCCAATTTTTTACTTACTTTCCTTATATGTAGTCCATCAGCCAAGACATGTCCAAAGTCTTCTTTAGTTTAGAACTGGAGTTACGAGGCTCACGTTGCTAACAAAGACTAGAACTCAGCAGTCACCCAAATAGCCCAAATTATTTCTGCAAAAAAAAAAACTTCCAAACTTGCTCAAACTGTAGATTCAGCTCTTCAGTAAGGCTGTGCAGACTTGCTGATATGGTTTAGATCACAGCATGACTTGCTGTGAACTATAAAAATTAACAAAATATAATCGCTGCAGGCCATTATTTTTAGACATCATCAGAGCTGGTATTCACAAAGCAGGACTGATCTTGGATCAGATGACTGTCACTGTCACGAATACTAATTCTAGCTCAATCCTCCTCCTGATGTGGTTTGTGAATACACACCCTGTTGTCATTTTGATAGTTCACAGTAAGTCATACAGTGTTCTAAACCACATCAAGTCTGCGCAACCTTACCAAAGACCTGGTTGCAGCTTGAATGGGTTAAAAGACGTTTTGGTGATGTATTTTCACAGAAACCATTTGGGCTATTTGAGTGACTACTGAGTTCTTAGCATTTGTTAGCAAAGTTAGCCTCACTACTCCATTACTAATCTAAAGAAGCAGAATGTCTCGGTCGATCGACTACATCTGGGTAAGTGGAAAATTGTGTGAATTTGATTTTTCACTGGACCCTTTTAAGAATTCTAGATCGTAAAATCATAAGCGTGTACACACTTAAACATTTCCATTCATGCCTAACACATTTCTAAAGTCTCATATTTTCCAAGAGCCATGGCTGTTCTAAACTGTAAAAGTGGCAGGCAATATCGCCACAGTATAACACCATGATATTACCAAATATTTTCACAATACATATTATGATTCATGGTATTTAGTTTTTGTGAGGTTTAATAAGTTGGAAGGTACAAAAACACCTAGTAGTACCACATTCAAATAAATACTATAAAAATCTTGAGTACAACAAATTTTATTTAATGTTTCAAATACTGTGCTTCTTCTTTAATTAGTGACAATATCAGAAAAGCATACTGTGATGGAATGTGAGGTAATTTATCATGATAAATATCATTTTGTGACATTTAAGCACAATTTTGGCCTAGTTGTGTCAGCCATTGTATTGCACTGTGACACAGACAATGACTGACTTCACCAGTTGATTTGTAAGCAGTCCTACCTGTCACAAAGATTGAAAAAAGTTAGATTACGTGGAGTTCTAACCGGGTAAACACCGACACACTTTCACTGTTGTAACAATTGATTTGTCCCACATACCTCTGTGAGGCAGTTTACATAATAATCTGTATACTCAGTCTGAGAATGACGTACAAGTCATGTGTATTTGTGTGTGTGGCAAACGCGATCGCTCTGGAGAATGTTCATCAGTCCAGCTTATCTTAGTTGAACCGGAGAGTAGAATAGTCACGTCTCAGTGATCAGTGAGAGATGATTGTAGCATGATTGTAGATAGATAACATATCACTGATCAATCCAGAGGCCCATTCATACAATCCTACAACTGCACTGTGATCTTTCCAATACCTGAATTCCAAAACAATCAGCACACCAACCAATTACATAATAGAAAGGCCTATGCAGACTAATGAAGTAATCCAGGCTAATGCTCTGAAGTATGTGTCACAATGAAATGAATTATTTGTGAGGACTGGTTGCTCTACAGCAGTCAGGTGATTAAGTTATCTGTAAATGACTGAGATCATTCTGAGCTTCTATGCGTGGCCTGCCTTGTTTTTGTCCTGTGTGTTTGTAATGTGGGAACAAGCTAAAATTACTACCAAATTATCACCCAAAAATATATTCTGCCATTTCTCATCTAATTATGGCTTTTCCAGCAAAAAGCTGAGGCATATTAACCCATTTATCTCCCACACAGGCTACAGACAACATGCTCAAGGACACCACCTCGTCAAACTCAAACTTTCTCACTCTTCCCCCTGTTAGCTGACGATATGCTTCACAGGTTGGCACTCATCTCTGCTTTCTTCAGGGCATAGGTAAGGTAGCAATCCTGCACTGTTGTGAGCGGAAGATCATAAATAAATGCAAGCAGAAAATAGGGGTCACTGAGTTACTAGGTCTGTTGTTTTCAAACAGAACTTTGAACTTCTTGAGTAAAGGGCGATTGTGAAAACACCAGCTCTTTAATGAAAGGATATATGGCCTCGACAACTGCATAATCAAGAAATAAAGGTTTCACAATGTCTTGAAACATGCTATGGTCATAGAGCAGTGGTGTTTCAGACACAGGTTGAGCTCAGTTCTAGACAGAAAAGGGTTTTTAAAATGCAGTTCCCACTGACAACAGAAATCCTGACTTAATCTACAGCAGCAAAACCAGTCTAGCATGTGAGAACTGTCATGACCAAGGAAAGTGGCCTGAAATGTTGAACAAGTAGAGATTTCTCAAAGAAGGATTTTCCTCAAAGTAGTTGTGCCTAGTAGTGTATTTCTGAACATTAGACTCTGTTAATGGTTGAAAAATCAACAGATTAATATTTATCCACTGATTAATCATTTTTAACATTATGTTATCTATCTATTTATATAAATTACATATAAATGTTTTTGGCCAAAGACGTAGGGGTAGCAATATGACAAAAAAACAGCACAATACTTCAAAAGGTTTTCTCGATACACAATATGCATCATGATATTTAGTTTTTCCTGAGATTTGATTATTTGGAGCAGAGATAAGTACCAGTAGTGTCAAATTTAAACAATTACTATCAAAAACTATACCATTTTTATTATGCTTTTTTATTCACTACACCATTCAACTAGCCAGGCCTAAACATGCTTTCTTCCTAATGAAACATGCAGTCAGTCACTGGCATTTAAGCACTGGCAATATCCACACTTTGCTCAGAAAAGCACATATGACATGCACCTCTACATAAATGTGGCCCTAACTTTTATAACTAGATACAATACATGTACACCATCTAATAGACAACGGATTTTGAGGCCTACAAACCATTTCGGGGCATTACCAAGAGATAGTCCTGTGCCCTAATAAAAACCGGTTCCATAATAAAAACACAAAACTGGACAGTATCCATTCTCAGGTTATAAGGCAGGGCATGTGTTCGTGGAACAAGACAAAATACAGATATCCAATTGACCTTTTCTTATAGCAGGTCACTGTCATGGATGTGTGAGCAACAGTAATTGTTCTTTCCAAATGAGGAGACAAAATGACTACCTTTTAATGTCCAACATCCTCCCACTCTCTCTCAAAAGCTCTATAAATTAGAAACTAAAACACCTCTCAACACTATAGTCTACATGTTTTCCCCAGCGATGGTCATCCTGCTTCCTCTCGTCTGCACTCTGTCCTCCCCCTTTCCATTTCACTTGCTGCTTCTTTACTGTTTGTCCATTCCTTGGACACACAAACGCACAGAGTGTTTCTATGTCCTCAATGGGGGCAAACATGGCTCCATTAGAGTAGCCAGAAGTCACCCAAGCAGTTTGAGAGAGTTAACAGAGTGCTAACATTTTAGCATTAGCCTTATAAGTCAACATGGACAGCTGGAAAGGCTGTCAAATAGCTGTGGACGGAGTGCATTTTGGGTCATTTGTGGCTTTTACGGAAGAAAGTCAACTATGCTAACAACATATCCTAGTAATTCTAACATAATCTGCTTTAAAGCAGACTGTTAGCAAAGGTGAAGACTTACCAATACCCAAATACATTAAACAAATGTTGCTTACAGTTCACCTGGTTTTGAAACAAACTGAAAACTTTTGCTGACACAGAGTTTTAAAGGGCCCCATCCTACATTTTTTTTTTCATTTTAATTTTCCCCTCTAAGGTCCACCTCTAACATACGTGTGAGTTTATGTTCCAAAAACAGTAACGATTAAGTTTTACATGGTCATTTTAAAACTATCCTATAGAATTAAACATACAGTTTTTGTTATGCTTTTAAGACAGATATATGCAAATTATATCTGTTCTGGTTGGCTGCCCTGTATTGTGCCACATTCAAAAAGCATTCTGGGCTGAAACACTCCCTATAACTTCAACATAAACAGGCGAGGTTAAACTACTGCAGGATGTGTCGATGTATGCATGTAAATATGTTGGTTTTCATGACATCACAGAAACATCGAACTCAAAACTAGCTGCTTCCACATACAGACTGGGGAGTGAATAGTATGTTTTAGAACTATTAAAAAAATTAATAAAAATAAAGCTGGGCTTCATGTGAAATGGACCCTTTACGTAACAAAGAGACCTCAACAGAAAATAAAAACTGTACCCTCCACTGCACTGGTAAAAGTTAAAAGGTGCAATCTTCGGCCTCCCCAGACTTTAGGACTGTAGCACTGAAGCACAGTGCTGTGTCTCTTCAACTTTCTCCTGTCTTTGCAGTGCCATACAGCATTGCAAATGTATTCCTTCAGTCTACTAACTACTGCAGTGCTGGAAAAGCAGGGCAGCAGACTTCACACAGACAGACTGTGCAGCAATTCACCCTCCCAGACTGGCACTACTGGTGTGATATGGGAACAGACGTGGACTGGGAACTGGAGGCAACTAAATTAAATGGAAATCTTTAAAAAAACTTATGCAATGCTGAATGGTGCAACAGAGAATCATGGAGGTGCAACGCTTTGTCTTTGTGGTTAAGCCACTGCTTTGCACATGCTGCCTGATTCTCCTTATTGTAAAAATTCTAAGGGTTCAGATCTGGTGGTCTGTTTCTGTTTTGAGAACTGGTGTCCTATGTAAAGATTAATCAGGACCAACTTGAACTCTGTACACAGTTTTTTTTTTTTTATACTTATCACACAGCAGCCAATGGTAATGCTAATGATGAAACTGTTATAAAGTCATTTTGACACATTATGCCATCCACAATATCTGGCGCATATGAAAAGTGAGTAATTAATTTTATTCAAATGTTAATTATTTAATTACATATTTGTGTTTATGTTTGTAGTTCTTCATATTATAGTTACATATTATAGTTATACATATTATAGCTACAATATATCTACAAATGCTTAATTTGTTCCTAAAACTATTTTGATGAGGTCACATTTTAAAAAGTTCAAAACATTGTCAAACTCTGCACAGCATTAGGGTTAGCATTACAAGCAGGATTATGATTACAGTTAGGTTAAAATATTGGATTGGAATGACGGTTCAAGTACTAGGTTAAGGGTTTGGGAAATGTTAAATAAATTTAATAGATTTAGAGATTTAGTTGAATGTCGTTTAAAGACAAGGTGAACATCTACAAAGTATTGTGACAAATTACATCACAATAAGAGTTATCTTTTTATTTAAATATATGAATGGCTTATGTATGCAATGTATCTATATTACACATGCTTGTCCACATACGCATGTCTTGTGTACTACTAGGCCTAACAAACAGAATGACGACAACTGCACAAGTTTATGTTGCTTAAACCTGCATGCCAAACAGCACAGGATCAAAGGTCACTGAGTGCTCAAAAAGTACAGATTCACCACACACACACACACGCACGCACAAACAGTCCTTAAAGAAACAAAAGCATGAACACTTGCACACACATTCAAGCACGCAGGTACACACACAGGCACAGACGCAGGTGTGGCACTTCAGCTGAGCCAATAAACAACCAACCTAACTCATATAAAGATAGTGTAAACATGCAACATTAATTCTATTAATAACATATTGTTAAGTTTGTAGGGAAGTGTGGGGCATTTTGTTTTTTGCTTGGTAACTTTAAATGTACTTGAGCAAGATTAATACTTTTGCTTTATATATATATATTTGCTTTATATATATATTTGCTTTATATATATATATATATATATATATATATATAAATATGTATAAGAAACCTATAAATATCTGCTACAAATGAAAAACTTTGTTTCCAAAACTTACAGTTGGTAAACAATTCCGTCAAAACCAGAGCGACTGCAAACATCTTACCAAATTACAACCCCTCAGGCAGGGATTACTGTAACAGATGGTAAAAATTCTCGTAAACTGACATAAGAAACAACTAACTCAATCCAAATCTGTCGCTTGAACCAGATTTTTCCAACCCAAATACATAAATGTATATTCATCATAATACGATGAGTTTAAAAAGAAAGCGTCAACTTATTTTTGACCATAAAGTAGAAGAGTAAATATAAGCAGAAAAAAACTGATTGTTTGTATTTCTGTGATATCTCTAGCATTTATTTTTAAAGAACCTTATGAGGAGGCCTAGTTGCAACTCTGTATTACAACTAACCCTGCAGTGTGGAGGCTGTTTAGCCTGGCTGAGCTCTAACAGTACACTATTAAAAAACATGGTTTTTCAAGGGTTCTTTAGTAAAGATAATGTATAATGTGTCTATATAGAACTATGAACTCTCAAAGAACCATTTGTATGCTCAAAGTGTTCATTGCATGGTGAAATCGTTGACTGACAGATTGACAGAGAATGTGCTGTATGTGGTTGTATATAGAGCCAATATAGAAAATGGTCTTATATAGAACAAAAAAGAGTTCTTCAAGTGTTACAATGTCAAGCTTGCAACAACAGGGGGAAAAAAAGGTTATTTCATGATGCAAAGAACCCTTTAAGCATGCAAGTGGTTCTATACAAAACCACTGCCTTTAGTAAAGAACCCGTGAAGAACCATCTTTAGGAGTGTAAGTTCTTTACATGTTTCAAAACTGAGAGGGTGATTAAAATAATATATTATGGATTACTGCATCATACTCTGTCATTCAGCAATCAAAAACACTTCAGAAGAATAAAGTTACTTGTAAGGCCCAAAAACAGCCTTCAGGCTAAATGTGGAGAAACATCTGTTGCAGATGATGTTGCTAGGGGAACACTAGATCACCAAAAGCACGTTCTGCTTGAACCTGTTCAACTACAAATATCAATGTTACCTTTCACCCCAAGCAAGTTTGTGCCCCACTCTCCACTACACAGACACACAAACCAGCTGATCCACAGCTGCATCAGCAAAACAAACACACTCAGTCACGCAGCAAAACAAAGTAAGCGGTAGGGGGGCAATCCCCCCAGAAGCACACGAGTCGTGCAGAGATCCACGACTTCCACATGTCATATAAATGTAATATCCTTCCAGTCTGAACTCAACCTGAAACAGTCATTATCACACACACACATACAGAATACTCACCTGAATTCTGTGGGCTACAATCAGTGGGTAAGAGCAGCTGCTCAGGACGTAAACAAATGAATGAGGCAGAAAGTGCTGCCCTGGACCTGATAACCGGCGACTGTACAAGAAAAGGGGGAGTGTGACACACTGATGAAGCCACTGTGTGTACACAGAACATACGCGCACACACACACACACACACACACACACACTGTCAGGGGGAGTGTTGCTCTTGCTCTGTCTCCGTGTTGCTCCAGCAGCCGCTTTAAGAGAACGTCAGGCCTTATATTGCCTTGGCTGTGCTGTTAAGCTCTCTCTCTCTCTTTCTAAGCTTTCATCCTCCCTCTGCTGATTATGCAACACAAGCACGCCCCCATTCACACCGGCCAATCACAGGCAGCCCGACTCTAACAGCAAAGAGCGGAAGGTTTTAAAGAGAGAGGGAGGGACAGATGGATAAGAGAATGAGACGGAGGGAGGCACATAATGTGGTTGAAAAAAACTTTTTACTGGGTGTTTACTAACAGGTACAAGTGTCTGTAGTGACTGTATTCCTCAGATCTCAAATATAAGAGTCAAACATAAATGAGCTTTTATAAATATATATGCCTATCAAGACGACACAAGAGGGAGTGTGTTATCACAAATAACATCACAGCTGTTATTCTGCTGCAGGGATGATCTGGAAGAGAGTGCTGCAGATCATCACAGCCCTGGTGTTATTAGTGATAACACATGACCTCAAGTGTTCTATCACTTTTATACAAAAGTTCTGCAAAATTATTTTAAAAAGTAAAGACGTCGCATCAAAATTAAAGAAGAAATCACATTAAATCATCAAAAGCACTTGCAGTAAAGAGAGTGACTTCCTTCTGACGTGATTTTGGACTGAGCCATAGAATTGCTGCATTATCAGGGTTAGCTCAGCATTTTGCTAGTATTTCAGTTTTTGCCAGTTTAACCTGAATGTCGCCTTGTTCCAGTCAGTCTGTAAAGCATTTCAGCCCATCCTGTTTGCTGAATTGTAATACCAGTTTGTTTAGTTGTTCTGCCGTCAACGCATTCAGAATATGACTAAACAGGCTGTCTCTCAAATATTATCTTATACAAGTTATATATCCATTTTCTTTTCGTATGTGCTAACACAGAAACATACTGACAATTGGCTGCAAAGCAGTCGTTACTTAAAAAGTGGTGCTCAGTAACCCACACCCAGCAGAATAATACAGTATCACAAACACTAACAGCACAGCCTCAACGCTTCTCAATCAGTCAGATAAACTAACAACCAACCGTTGCATAATTTCTTTGTATACCAGTGTTAAAATGGAGCTGTGTAAATAAGCTGTGTTGCCGTTATTATTGTGTAACAGTAAAAGATAAGAGTGCTCTGCATGTGAACAATGAGCTTTATTAGGATACATGCTGACCACGGCCCATACTGTACAGTAATAACTAAGCATGCACCGCTATGGCAATTATGGACCGATGCTAGTATATGATGTTTATGGGCATATCTGCTGATAAATGCTTATAAAATGTAGAATCTGGGATTACATCTACCTGGATCAGCATTACAGTTCATTTATTTATGTATTTATTTATGAACCAAGAGTTTCTCCACCTCGTTTCAGGAGCTAAACTGTACCAGTGCTTTCACTCGCAGCTGGGATCTCAGCTGAGTTTGAGCTGATTTTGGAGATGCAACTCCACACTAAACAAAACAAACGGGCTGTTTTTATGTTTTTATGTGTGATTCTTTGCTCCCAACAAAATGGACAAACGGTGACAGTGGGCTACTGTCCATTTTGGAAAACTGAAAGTAACGTGAAGAGCCTCATCACTTCATTCAGAAGATGAAACTCTGGGTTCTTCACATTTAACTCGACGCTTGTAGCTCAGTTTGATACGGAGCCCCCAAATTGCCGTGGTTTAAAAAAAAAAAAAAAAGTTAACGACATTGCGTTCCCTCGCAAAATATATGGTCGTCAGACAGCAAGCAAACATAGGGCCAGAGGTGCCCAACGACACTGCCTACATTCGTGCTGTGTTTTTAGCATAGCTAACGTTATAATCTGTTTTCCCAGCTTCGCCAGTCTCTGCTGAGTTTATTCATCAGTTGTTCTCTGCAGTCGCTGTAAATGGAGCTTCTACTGTACGAGGACACGATCTCAGTTTCAGTTTGCGTTCACTAATAACATAACGTTAATCATGTTTGATTTTGAGAAGCGACACATCTATATATTTCAATCCAAGATCGATGTAAAATTCAATGAGCTGCTTCATGTCTGAGCTTAAGCAAAACACAGCTTTTGCTAGCGAATGCAAACCGTTGCATCGTAATGCAAAACATTGCGAGGGAACGCAATGTCATTAACTTTTTTTTTTAAACCACGGCCCCTGGGGGCTCCGTAGTTTGAGCTGCTTTTGGAGATTCTGATCCTTTTCGCGTTTGTGGGGAAAAAAAAAACTATTTGCTGCTCCGCCATCTTGGCTGTCGTCATGCCAACAGACTGTGACTGGTCAATTTACTGTGGTCCGAATATTTTATTTTTCATTCAATCAGTATAAAAAGGTGTAACAAATACATTTCGTGCAGCAACTCGGATAAATACAGCAGCAATTCGTATTAACAGAATAAAAACCTACATAAAACTAACCTCAGGGTAAACAATAACAGACGCAAGGCATTAACATTCAAAATACAAATGTAATTATGAGCACAGTTTAAGGGCATTTTTAGCACACATGAATTTTAAGCATTTGTAAAACAAACCCAAATTATTTTAGAATGCTAGCTAACCAACTAGGGGAGTTTTTATAAATTAATTTATGTATGTAGTATTCAGCCACAATTATAATAGTTAACTAAAAATTCTGTCTTAAATTTATCGCGCTCGTCCGGTGTGTAAAGGCCTTAAGGCCTCTGCTGAGGCTCCAATATGTTTAAGGCCTGTATTTACAATTAGCAAGATTACAAACTAACATTGCCAAACGGAGGGAAGAACACGCCATTACTGAAAACAAAAACCTAAACAACTGTTTATTTTGGCTTTAAATAAAGTTGTATGGGGTTTTTCATACTATGGGAATATTTGCCAGTATCAGACGGGTTTTTAGCAGTTTATTTCGTTCTGAATGAGACGGTGGCTGTGTTTGTTTATAAACGGACTCACGCTAATGGGCAAAAAACGTTTTTCTCTGAACTAACTAACCGAATGATCTGGTTAAGATGGTAGACTTTTCGGACAACCCAGCGGCCCGAATGTGGACGCTTTGTAAACTAATAATCCCTTAAGATTTTTAAGAGAGTGAAGCTGCGGTGGCCGTTTACGCCATTTACACACTAACCTACAGTCAGTGTCTCGCACGATCATCACAGCCACTCTGTTTAGCTTATAATGGCAGCGGGATATCACTGGCGTGGGGAATTTATGGAAAAATCCTTCACAAAGGTAAGTCAGAGTAGGCTTGTGTACCTTTTTTGATGACATCCTCCTTGAGTTGCGACCCCCAAGCAGAGAATCACCGGTTGAAACACCGTAAGCTTTTGGGGATCGCTTTATAATTTCTGCTGAGCGCCCTCTGGTGGATTTAGGAAACATAACGTTGACTTAGAAATTTGGCGTTTACTGCAGTTATTTGTCTGCGTAGTAAGTTTCTTTGCATTTTTAAAATAATGTAGTTTAAGATCAGAATTTATTAGAATATTTGACAAACAGACAAAAGACATTTTTAAATTTGATTGCTGAGTCTATCTGACCTGCCCTACTGTAGAGCAGTGAAATGACAGGACTCTAGGCCATCTGTTGTCATGCACAACATAACCTATTCATCACTGGTCAGTTACTGACCACAAGACCACCATATTATTTGTGTGGTGGAGCATTCTGGCTTTTCTGCACACATCACTGTCACTGTTAGGTTGAGAGAAGTCCTCCACCCAAAATATCCAGTCAAGAGTGGTTCTGTGGTCAGAAAATGACCAGTAATGAAGGGCTAGAGGATGACTAACACAAACTGATGGGCAGCATGTTCTAACTGTATACAAGCAAGCCAGCAGAACATGCAAGGGTGTTTTTTTTACTAATAAATTGCACTGCTGTTTGAACCAACTAAACAAAAAGAAAAGTGCACAAAATGCTTTGTGCTGTAAGGCCCAAACAAAATCTAAGCTAGCTGTGTGCGGTACATATTAAGCAAAAGTCTCTTCCAGTTTCATATCAGTTTCTGTTCTTCAGTCCAAACTCATGTTTGCTCTTTGCAGAGTCTGCATGATAGCAGGTTATGACATCATATGTAGGTCACAGATCAAGGAAAAATAGACTTAATTGCCTGCATTACTACTGAACCGCAAACATGGCAACCGGAAGAAAATTATCTAACAAACCATAAAATGCTCCAAATGGTTTAGTGAGTAGTGAACAGTGCAGACCTCCTGTTTTGGCCAACAATGAGTTCATTTTGCATTGCAAGATATAAAGATATAAAATGTATTGCCTTCATAAATTGTATGCAAACAAACATGTCTTTGAAAATCCATTGATTATGGCTTTCAATCACAAACATTTATAAGTAATGTGATCACACAAAGTTGCATAATAAAACTAGCTTTGATAAAACTGCACCTGCATCTCCATTACTCCTCCCACATTAGATGTGCTGCTTGCAGCCAAACCCAGCATTTCTTCATTTGCCTGGTAAAATTCCCATGTTTCTGTCTCCCACTTGCCTAATCAAACATTGCACACCATACAAAAAGAATTAAAAATCATATTTCCAAGATTCCCAAAACGGAGAACTAAGTCAGTTTGCTAGTCACATAGTTGACTAGCAACACCTTTATCATCATAGATAGCTAAAGTGGGACTAATTTCGAAGTTTTCACCTTTGTAATCCAGTTGTAGGTGTGTTTGACCCCATTGACCTACACAAAAAGCATAGGCCAAACCACTAAGTAACAGGCACTTCGAAGCACTAACTTGATGTGCATGCATATAACCTTTTTCCCATTAAAGACAAAGAAGAATCTTTGACATCTGTAGGATATTTATGAACTGTTCAAGTTTTATCAATAAAATAATTGATAAATAAATAAAGAGTAGTATCATGCTACATATTTCAAATAAACCATATTAGAGCAGGATTAAAACAGGGCTTTCCACTCACAGAGGCCTTTTCTACAAGCAAGTACAAGTACATAAAAAGTTAAATGCTAGTTTCTTCAAAAATAGACCTAAAAGTTAGATGTTAACTTCTTCAAAAATAGACTTACAGCCAAAGTTATCATCATTTTGTCTGGCCTAGATCACCACAGCATACAGTGCAAGGATAGATTACACACATATAATG